CGGCTCACCGCAACCTCCGCCTCCTGGGTTCAGGCAATTCTCCTGCCTCAGCCTCCTGAGTAGCTGGGACTACAGGCACGCGCCACCATGCCCAGCTAATTTTTTTGTAGTTTTAGTAGAGAAGGGGTTTCACCATGTTGACCAGGATGGTCTCCATCTCTTGACCTTGTGATCCACCCGCCTCGGCCTCCCAAAGTGCTGGGATTACAGGCTTGAGCCACCGCGCCCGGCCCAAGAATACTTTCCTATTAATGGGAAAGACTATCCTTGCAAGCTAGGGAATCAGACCTTTAAGCAAAGGTCCAGTTTAAGTCTATTTTAAAACAGTCACAGTACAAGGAGATTCCAGAGTTGCTTGAATATCCTTAGGAGGTAAAGGACATAGTAAACAATGACTGTATTTTCTCTGCTTTAGATAGCTCAGCATAGAAGTCAGACAACGGCTACTTTCCAACTGCTTTTTCTGTTTAAAGGACTCTCAGACTTATTTTACTGGCTGGTAAAGCTATGAACCACAGTAGCTAAGGGGGTTTTAATAGGCTGAAAATTAATCAGAAGCATAACTAAGCAAGGATTAAAGCAAAACGGAGAACCATCTAGGGTTTGCTTTTAAAAAAATTATCTTAAAAGTATTAAGTATCTTTTTGATAGTCATGGAGAGAAAGAAATCCCACTTCCTTATTACTAAACTAAAAAGATATAGCAAGCTATTCAATTTCCTTTTTTCTCACTTTAAGAAGTAATTTCAGAGAAGTTTTTTGTGTGCTTTTTTATCTAAGAAGTGCTATTTAACTGGAGATTGCAATACTGTTTGTCTCCATTTCCTTAAGTCAATATGGTTTTAAAAATGGTAACTGAGATTGTTTCTAAGTCACTCAAGTAGAATCTCCAAAAACAAAGAAACTGATTAAATGCTTATCTTTTTAAAAGATGAAGTTATTATATATCCACACTGAACAGTACTCACTTTACTAATTCAATCTTGATTATCCAAATTATGGATTAATCAGAACCTTTGCTGCTTTTCTTTCTCTTCCTGGCTATTTCCTACAATTTTATTGCTTATAAATGTATCAAAGAAAGGGCACAGAAAGGGAGAAGGTGAATATAAAGTAGTCAATTCTACTCCTTGTATCACATTCGCTCACACGAACAAGTCTTATATAATGGTTGCAACCCTTCTCTCACCAATTTTTTCATTAAAAACTTATTTTTCACTCCTCCCCCATCTTGCATGATCTCTATCTTCCCATTGCCCACAACTTCCATGCCATCTCTACCCCTTAAACTTTGCTTTTTTTGTTATACTGCAGAGGCAGCTTTGGGAAAGCCATCTTTGAAATGTAAGACTCAGTATTAAAAGGTAGAGGTAGAAAATGTAAGAAGCAAAGCAACAGGAGATGGAGATTTTGGATAGAGAAGAGAAAATTTAAAACCAGTCAAAAACTGTAACAGTTGCATTCTTGTTTGAGGATCGAAACACCTGTCATAGATATGCTAAAGTTATATGTATAAATGCATGACATTAGATAACAAGTTAGTGGGAGAGAGGGAAATGGGAGATTGAAATTAATGGAGAAGGCACTCTGCATTCTGTCCTGCCCTTTCCTTTAAAAAGGTCTAAATTGGCTTCATCCAACAAGTCCTCTGAAACCCTCATAAATAATTGAGAGCCCATTAAATTATCAGTATTAATCATTGACTAGTCAACATATCCACCCGAGAGTGAATATATTACCTGTGTCCCCAGTGGGAAGGTGTCTAATTTCTGATCGGGTGTACCATTGCCCTGGGTTGCAGAAGTACTTAGGGAATCCTTTATTTCCCGGTTGGGGAAGGGAATAAAAAGTCCTTTGTTTGAGTCTGTGTTAAAAGAAAAGGCATACAATGAAGCACTGACCAGACTTCAAAGGCAGCATGTCTAATGGAAAGATACTAGAAGGAAAGTTACAAGATTGAGTGCTAGTTCTGGTGCCACCACTTGGAGACCACGTGAACTTGGGCAAATCACTTAACCTCTCTACATCTCTCACTTCATTTGGAAAACCGAGATGATAAAATCTAAACTGCCTATCTCTTAGGGTTGAGCCAGGTTAAAAAAATGGATTTGAAATGGCTTCATAAATTATGAAGTGCTCAACAGAAACTGAGTGTAAGGCAAATATTTCACACATTTCCTAAGCGAATAAATAATTAACGTTGATACCAATTCAATAATCTCCAACTAAAAAGGGAGATGCTGGGAATAGACTCCTGGCATTGCACATCTCTAGGATACTAATCAGCAGTCAGCACTGATTGACTATTTCAAACCAGGCTTTTTCTGCCTTGCTTTCTCTCTTTTGTAAAAAGAGAGAAACTAGTCAGGACTTATTTCATGGAGAAGAATGCTAAATCTTTAGGTCTCCCAATATATTTTTTACAGGTTATTTTGTTTTATTCCTCTCTAATGCTATTAGGGAGGTTCTTGTTTTATTGGTTACCACACAGAGAATGTGGAAATATCATTCCCTGTTATTTATAAAATCCTTGTAAAATAATTAATCAACTTAGTGATGGGGCTGGAAATATTCACCATGAGCTTAAATATATTTATTAGTAGTACTTTAGGATCTCTATATAAATTCAACTTTATGGCTGGGCATGGTGGCTCACGCCTGTAATCCCAGGACTTTAGGAAACTGAGGTGGGTGCATTATGAAGTCAGGAATTTGAGACCAGCCTGGCCAACATGGTGAAACTCTGTCTCTACTAAAAAATATAAAAATTAGCCAGGAATGGTGGCCCGCGCCTGTAATCCCAGCTACTCGATAGGCTGAGACAGGAAAACTGCTTGAACCCGGGAGGTGGAGGTTGCAGTGAGCAGAGATCACGCCACTGCACTCCAGCCTGGGCAACAGAGCAACTCTGTCTCTGGAAAAGAAGGAAAAAAAATTAGAACACTCTGTATATTACTTTGAATAATATTTGTTTTCTATATTTTTATTTTACATTAAAAACAATTTTCTAAAAATAGAGACAAGGTCTCTCTATGTTACCCAGGTGGGTCTAAAACCCCTGGGCTCAAGCGATCTGCTAGCCTCGGTACTGAAAATGTTAGGATTACAGGCATGAGCCACCATGCCTGGCAAGATTTATTTTCTAATGAAAGAAAAATAATTTTTAAAAAGTAAAGGAAATAGTGTTCCATTTTCATTTAAAAAATCCTGTTAGGGCCAGGCACTGTGGCTCACACCTGTAATTCCAGCACTTTAGGAGGCTGAGGTGGGTGGATCACATGAGGTCAGGAGTTGGAGAGCACCCTGGACAACATTGTGAAACCCCATCTCTACTAAAAATACAAAAATTAGCCAGGCATGGTGGTGGATGCCTGTAATCCCAGCTACTTGAGAGTCTGAGGCAGGAGAATTGCTTGAACCCAGGAGGCAGATGTTGCAGTGAGCTGAGATCACACCACTGCACTCCAGCCCGGGTGACAGCGAGACTCCATCTCTGAAAGAATAAAATCCCGTTACTAGTTTGCAGTTCACCTTTCAAATTTTGATGTTAGTTTAATACATATATTCACAAAAAAAGTGACAAATAAATTTTAATGTTTCTTCCTGTTTTATAATTTTACTTTTTTATTTTTTTTGAGACAGAGTCTCGCTCTGTTGCCCAGGCTGGAGTGCAGTAGCGTGATCTCAGCTCATTGCAACCGCCGGGATTCTTCTGCTTCAGCCTCCTGAGTAGCTGGGACTACAGGCGTGCCACCACCATGGCCGGCTAATTTTTTGTATTTTTAGTAGAGACGAGGTTTCACCGTGTTAGCCAGGATGGTCCCGATCTCCTGACCTCGTGATCCGCCCACCTTGGCCTCCCAAAGTGCTGGGATCACAGGCATGTGCCACTGTACTCAGTCTCAAATTGCTAATCACCAATAAAAACAACACAATCCCTGACTTTTAAAATATTAACATGTAATAACTATTGCAGATATGATAATTTTTAAAGGAAATTAGTGAGGTGATTTTTTTCCCATCATTCACAAACTGTGTGTACTCTTAGTGACCTTATGTTCTCTCCCCCTTTAAATAATAGTTATGTCTTTTATTCAGAAATTCTATTCTTCTGGCTGGGCGCGGTGGCTCACGCCTGTAATCCCAGCACTTTGGGAGGCCGAGGCGGGTGGATCACGAGGTCAAGAGATCGAGACCATCCTGGTCAACATGGTGAAACCCCATCTCTAC